TGGCCAACACAACTAGGAGAGAGTGGAAGCAGATGCAGGCAGAGAACAGGAATGCTGCTAAGTATCCCATGAGAGAGACAGCCCCCACAGCAAAGAGTGACCCAGCCCAAAACACCAACACCTCGAAAGTGAGAAGCCCTGATGAAGCGAGGTACAGTGCGCATCTCATAATCTAAAAAGAATCATTGTACTGGCACGTGATACAATGTTGAACAAATGTTCAAAAAGGGGCTCTGTACCCTTATAAAACCTTCAACAGAAAATGTGTTTAATATACAGATATAAAGGAACTACAATTACTAGGCAGGATCACTCACATAAAATACTAAGTTCTCTTTCCTTGAATCTGGGATGGCCCTGGTGACATGTTTCTTAATCATAAGCAGCATGGAGCAAAGAAGGCAATGTGGGCTTTCCAGATGAGGTCATAACAAGTTTGTAAGAAGCTGGATGGGGGACCTCAGAGACGTCCTTATCCTCCAACCTTTGAATACACTGCCTACATCGTAAAGGGACTTCATAAATGTAATAGAAGATCTTATGGGATTATTCTGAATCATCTGATTGGGTCCTATATGTTGTCAAAAGCTTTGTAAAGTGGCATATGCAATGAGGTTTGTCCAGGGCATAATAATTGCTAATTGAAAACTAAATGTAGTCACAAGAGTTCTTACAAAGGGAAGGGGGGATCAGCTGAAGCAATGATGAGGCCAAGAGCCAAGGAATGCTAAAAGCTAGAAGAAGAAAGTCACAGATTCTCTCCAGAGACTCCAGAAGCTCTGGGCCTTGCTGACCAGCACCCTTCAAGACTCACTTTGGAACAGTAACAGTGTGTTGTTGTAAGCACAATGGATGTTGGGGACATTCCTCCTATATTCCTCTTTTATTATCTTAACTAAAGCATTGAAATGTCTTTATTCATGTGTCTCAATTGACATAGAAAATTATCTTTGAGCAAAAACTGAGACTATCCCAATCCTTCCCAGAGGCTTGTTTCTTATATAATCCCGAGGAACAGACTGTGGAGAATAGTCAGACTTTTTAAAGGTACGAGACCCCGAGTAGAGCAATCTCCATGACAAAACTTGGTCATGTGTAAGGACTCTAGTAGAAGTCCAAGTCCAAGAGCTGCCAGACTTTCATTTTGTCAAAGGTCCTTTAGGCTACTTGCCAATACTCCAAACAGAGGGGCGTGGCCTACTGTCAATAAACAGTCACAAAAGGAGAGGTGTGAAGACATACAGGTTAGAATTATATGAGTATTATGGAGTGCATAGCAGTAAACACAAACTTTAAAGGCACACAGTCACTGTTTATACAAAGAAACAAACTCTAAGCTAACAAGTCTGCTGTGGCAGAAAACTGCACTATTCACCCTGAAGTGTCTTTTTAGAGTAAGGCATGGACACAGTCCCTCCCTCCCACAAATTTCAGTCAAATTTGCCCCACTTGAGGAAACCACGGGGGTCAGCACACCCTGAGTGCCATGGGCGAGCCTCACTTTAGGAAAAACACCTACTTGACCATGGTATCGAATGTCAACTTGGCATTTGTCATACAAAAAAATATACATTTTAAACTTTTGAATACATTTAGCAATAGTATTCCCTAAGAGGCTTTTTTCAAATCTCATCTTACGATCTCTCTCCCAAAGCCAGGCCTGGTCTTACATAACTCTACAGTAACTTGTTCATTACACCTCAGTAAGGATGGCGCTCAGCCTCCACCATGACTGCAGTGGCTCCGATCTCCTGCACTACAAAGCTGGCTTCCAGACCTCATTCCTTCCCTGAGCACACACCGTCCTCCTCTACCGCCCCAGCCCTCCGGGAGCTCTGTCTTGAGAGCTATCAGCCCTACAGAAAGATCCATATAACAAAGAGGGGCACTGCCAGCCATGTGAGTGAGTCCTGCTGGGAACTCTCCAGCCCCAGCCAAGACCTCAGAAAGCCAGAAACCTGATTTCCACATCATGAAAGACTACAAATAAGAAATACCCAAATAAGTGACTCCAGGATTCCAGAACACTGAAACTGTGGGAGGCTTGCTCTACGTGTCTGTGCTTTGATATAATTTGTTTTATAGCACCAGATAACAACTAATACAATGTCAACTACCTCGTTTCAAAAGCAAAATACACTTTTAGAGGTTTTTAAAGTAATTATAAACAGAAATATTAGTTGCAAAAATGAGGAAGAAGATATTGCTTTAAAAATCTTGGCAAACGATAAAGGCAACTGCAATAACGTCAGCTTGTCAGTTCTGCTTATAACAAAAGTCAGCCTGTCCATGGAATGCAGCCTGCTTCTGGAAGGGAAAGCAAGTTGCACAGGTAGGAGAGCAACTGTTTCTTCAAATTGGGAAGAAAATCAGTTTGTAATTTTAAAATTGAAACAACCTAACTCACTGAGATAAGTGATCCCGCAAAGACTGCCTCACTGGCTATAAACTGATTCTGGACAGTTATCTTGTCACAAATTATACCACATGCCTACTGATAGACACATAAGACAGATAAGGACCCAGCACCAAATTTCAGCAGATCTCAGGACCCATCTCAAAGCAAAGATGACTTTTTCTTCTTTCCATAATGTTTCATCAAAGCCAGACTGCTTCCTTGGATGATCTAAGCACCTTCCAAGGGCACACAAGCTTTCTATAGCAAGGAACAGCCCTTTCACAACGAGGGCAGTTAGTACTGACATATTTAGCGTGCATCAGTTGGCATTTTAAAACATTAGGAAGACACGTGAGATGGCTCACTAGTGCCACCAGGCCTAAGTTCCTGAGTTTGATCTCCCAGACCAGCATACTGGGAGGAAAGACTGGATGACTCCTACATTGTCCTCTGGCCTCCAAAAGCATGCAGTGTCACACTCACACACAAAAATTCGTGGTTAAAACATAGTTAAAAATTAAGAAACACTGAAAAAAGGTAACTAAAGAAAAACTTGAGAGGTTTTCATTTGAAAAAAAGGAAACATTGGCTCCAGCAACAGTATGCATAAGCTGCACCTATTCCCTTTGCAGTGAGATCCCTCACGGCTGATGAGCAAGGTAAGTTACTAAGCCGTCTAGGCAGCCCCATAACTACATGGACTGGTGATGACAACTGTATGTGAGCCCGAGGCATGCCACAGATTAAGGCAGCAGCACTGTCACCTAACTCAAAAGGCGACGATTTAGTCAACAGTCAACAAAAATAGCTCACCAAACTTTCAAGCCCTAAGCTTATAAACAGGGGCACTAAACCACCAAATTGTTTCCTATATATTTACCCTTTACTCCACAACAAACACATTGAAGTTACCAGTGGCTTCCTCAAACAACTTAGATCACTAGGCTTTATCGATGCTAATGACCCCCATGGAGTTGAATTTTTAGGTGAGTTCAAGGAAACCTAAAACCACGTCAGATTTAAAAATACTATCTTCCCTAGAAAATGTGGTACTCCTACCTCATACACTGCCTGCGTGTGCAAAATTAGTAACTTAGGAGATAAAACTTGGCAAGCCTGGTATTGTGGAACATGCTTTTCAATAACCGCCATAAAAATATATTCACAGGGCCTTCCAATCTCCCAACATGTTGACAATGTAGCACTCCCAAGATCTAGCTTTAGTAAAAGGAAAACGGGTTTTTTACAAAGTCGTGCCTGAGTGACAAAATTTGAACTTCTAAGGCATGACTGTCAATATTGTTTTCCAGAGCACATTTTTAAACACATGGAAAACACACAAGACAAAACGATATGCTAGTATTCAGTTGTAATTGTCTATAATACTGTGATTTACTAACTGAACTGACTGAATTGCTGCATTTTCCTGGGGGGAAAAATTGTGGGTAAAGCAATGCTTGAAACTATCCACTACTTTTTATTGGTTCACAATCCCCTAAACTGGAAAAAAAAATATTAAAGGGTACAACTAATAAAGTTTCCTAAGTGGTAAAGGTTAGCCATGCTAATATGAGGTAGAACTCACTTTCCTCTCAGACACAGGCCAATGATAAACTTTCAAGATGCGTGAAAGACACATTCCAAATTAATGTGTTCCATACTTCCGAACCTATGGAGTGTTTACATGGTACTATATGGTACCACATAGCACCGACGTCAACTATTTAAAAACCTCCCAACACATTCGAATGCAATACAAAATGGTAGCTCTGTGGTTTTTGTGTACACAACAGAATTACGTAGCAAAAACGTATGTTCAGACTCAATCCATTCTGGTCTCTGCATCCTTTCGAGTCTTTTTCTGAACTTTTAGCCTTTTCCCCTACACTCCAATTCCGCACTTGTCTTAAAAATATCCTATCTTAACATATCTGTTTAAAAATAGTTTTCCTTCATCTTCCCCCGATTATTTTTAAGTACAAGTGTGTTTTTCATTTTCAAGTTACAGATTCCCTAAGCCCAACCACCCAAAAAACTCACTCACTTCTTCACGCTTTCAAACTCCCAAGGAAGCAAGCACTGGAGTCCCCTTGAAATCTCCAGGCTTCCAGTACCTACGCCGGGGCTGGCTCGAAACAGTCTTTCCACTTCCCGAGAAAAGACTCCCTTGGGCGGGTCCACAGCCAGATGTGTGTGACAATACACTGCCTCCATCCAGCATCCCTGCCTCTGGGCGCTACACCCCCTTTTGGGGAGGGTGGGGGGGATCCACGAACCTTCAAGAAAGTTTCCTCTAGCAAGCAAAGCTGGAAGCACTTTCTTAGACCAGACGGGGCATGGGTGCACGGTCTCGGGGAGACACCGGGGCTTAGGGGATGGGGTGCTGGAGAGAGGAGGCACGGGGCAAACCGAAACGCACCCCCGAGAGAGGCCGGGGTCACTTCGGGCTGGGGCTCTCGAATTGCACGGCTGGGGAGGCCCCAGCTGCCTGGCACGATCCGTGCGTGTCCTACCCGCCTTGGGGGTGGGATGGGGACACTCGGGAGGTTAAAAAAAAGAAAGTTCCCCTTTGGGCCGCCCGGGCGCGACCCCGCCCGCTTACCCTGGGCGATGGCGATGGACTCGAAGCGGTGCAGCTCTCTGAGCAGGCAGCTCCTCTCGGTGGAGTGCAGACTGTAGATGAAGTCGCGCGCGCCCTGCGCCGTGTTCAGCGCCTCCATGGGCTCCTTCTTGGGGTGGGTGCCCAGGAGCCGGGGACCGCGGGGGGCCCCGAGCGCCGGCAGCCCCCGGCCGCAGCCGCACCAGGACGGCGGGCGGGGCGCGGCGGTAGCGGTGGCGGCGGCGGCGGCGGTGGCGGCGGCGGGGCCCGGCCTCAGGCTGCGCACCGTGCGGCTCCCCAGCAGCGGCAGCAGCCGGGACATGGCGCTGGAGCGCGGCGCGACCCCCGCGGCAGTCCCGACGGGAGGACGGCTTCGGACGCCGCTGGACGGAGGCTCAGGAGCTGGGCTCAGCCCGGCCCCGCCCCGGGTGCTCCAGACGCCGGGCCCGGGCGCCCGGCACCATGCACTTCTGGCGGGGCCCGCGCGGCGACCGCCTTCCCCTGCCCTGCCCGCTCCGCGTCCCGCAAGGCCCCGAGCCCGGGAAAACTTTGTGCGAGGCGGCCGGGCCGGGAGCTCGGAGCGGGCGAGCGGGCGGGCGGTGCGGGCGGGCGCCTCCCGGCTGAGGAGCGGCGGCGCGGGCGGGCGGGCGGGCGGGCGGGCCGGGCGAGTGTGTCTGACCGTCCAGAGGGATGAGTCACCGCGCGCCGCCCTCCTCCGGCGCCGCCCTCCGCCGCCGGCCGCTTTCCCACCCTCTTGGCCTCGCGCTGTCCCCGCTCGGCAGGGCTGCGGCGCCCTCAAAGCCACAGCGAGCGTCAGTCAGGCCGGAGCCACAGCCGCCACCCCTAGCGGTGGAGTCCGGGATGGCGGGGCGGGGCGGGGCGACGGGGTGGGGGCGGGGCTGAGGGCGGGGCTACGCATGCGCAAAGTCGCTCCCCTGGAGTCTCCACCCACTCCCTTGCGTGGAGAGGGAAGCCGGGGGCTCGCACCCCGCCCGATGGCAACCGCCCGTGTCAAATGCACTGCGGGAGTTTAGAACCCGCGGCCGCCGGGGTGCTCCAGCCGCTGTGCTGCTCTCCGCAGCATCGTCCTAAAATCTGGACCTCGAAGGGCCCTGGAGGAGCTGCCGGGCGGCTGTGTGCCTCGCGGGGTCCCCGCACCTGCCCAGGCCTGTGGGACTTGGAGCACAAAGAGCCGCGCCCTCCGCCGCGTCGGTGCTTACCGCGGCCAGACAGCGCGGCGCTGAAACGCCTTCTCTGGCCGCTCCCTGGGGAAGGCAGGGCCGGTTCTACCCGTCCCGAGAGGAGGTGGGTTTCAGGCTGAGGCTTCAAGGTCTGGGGAGGAAACACCACCGTTCCCTGGCCCGATGACAGCTGCGCACTTGCAGACTGCTAATTCGGGAGCCAGAGGCCAAAATGTAGTAAAACTTTTTTTTTTGAATGGTCTCTAGGGATTTATGTCCCTCTTTTTGTCTCCAGATCATCAAGGCCCCGGTCAAGTGTCACCTACTGCATGAAGCTTTCCCTTCTTTGTAAGGGAGAAGATCACAGCTTTATCTGAACTTGTCTAAGGACACTTAGGCATCCTATCTTAGAAAATAAATCTGCTTTAGACGATAACTCCACTCAAGTGTGATCAAGATCCAAATCCCCATCTTTATCGTACCCACGGCCGCTGCCCGCTCAGAACCTTGTGTAGTAAATGTGCCGTCAGTCCGCCCCGTCTGTGGTTCTCAATCTGCAGATGCGATCAACCTCAGACCCAAAGTACTTGGGAAAAAATGCGCGCCTGCCTGGGGCCTTTCTTTCTTGTGAGTAGTCCCCTAATAGATCAGAGCAACAACTGCTGTCGTGCGTTTACACCGGCGTTGGTTACTACCAGTAACTGAGAGGTGATTGGAAGTATGTCTGGAGGCCAAATTTTTCGTAAACCCTTCCGTTCAAATTGAAGCATCCAAGAATTAACTGAGGGGAAAGACTCTCCAGGAATCTTCCAGGTCGTCAGCTGTAGTGATATGTTGTTTGTAATCTAACGAATAAAGCTCGCCTGAAGGTCAGAATGCAGAGCTAGGTCGCTAGTTAACCACACACCTAGTTAAAGGCCAAGGCAAGTTAGCCACACACCCTAAGCCATTGGTTAGCCACATACCTAGTCCCAGCACTCAGGAGGCAGAGACAGGTGGATCTCTGTGAGTTCGAGACCAGCCTGGTCTATAAGAACGAGTTCCAGGACAGCCTCCAAAGCCACAGAGAAACCCGTCTCGGAAAAAAAAAAAGAGTTAATCCACTAGTCAGCCACACACACACACTAAACCACTAGATAGCCACACAACTAAGCCACTAATTAACCATAGAGGACCGAGAGCAGAGCAGTGACACACACCTTAAATCCCAGCACTCAGGAGACAGAGGCAGATGGATCTCTGTGAGTTCAAGGCCACCCTGGGCTACGTGAGTGAACTAGTCTAAAAGAGAAACAGAACGCACAGCTTTTATCGCAGCACTGGGGATGACATGCCTCTTATCCCAGCACTTGGGATGTCATGCCTTTAATCCCGACACTAGAGAGGAAGATGAGGCAGGAGCTCAGGGCAGTCTCAGGGCAGTCTGAGGTTTGGTGGAGAGCATTGCAGTCTACAGTCACTCTGAGGACAGGATCGCACCCCCCCTTTGGTCTTAGCCTTGGTAGAGTTCTCTAGTGACTGGCTGTTTTGCTTTTCTGATCTTCAACTTGCACCCCAATATCTGTCTCTGGGTTTTTATTATTCATGCTACACCCAGCACTGGATTTGGACTGTGCTTCATGTACTGTGTGCAAGCCCCTGCAAGCTCTACAGCCAGCAGAGAAACAAACTGCCAGAGGCAAGAACAAAACTTGGTTCCGCATGACCTAGATAGTGGTGTTGGTTCAAACTTCTAGAGTCTGACACCAGGCTAGTTTATTTTAGACATACGTAGGTATAGTACTGTAGAGAGAAGTCTTCCCGCCAGCCTGGTTCTAGAGCCGCATCAGTCCCAAATAAACACACAGGAGGCTATATTCATTATGAAGCTGTTGGCCGTTTGCTTGATTTCTTACTGGCTAGCTCTGACTTAAGTATTTACCCCATAATTGTTAATCTAAGTATTTCTCTTACCAGAGAAAAGGGTCTGGACTTCTTATCCCTATGGCAGCTACATGATGACTCTCTGTGTTTCTCCTTCCCAGAGTCCTCCTGGACTCCTAGTCCCACCTATCTTACTTCCCTATTGGCCAACAGTGCTTTATTGACATATACACAGGACTTCCCCATCATAGTATAATTTTGGAGAAAAGTTTCCTGGTAACAATTATCCCAAACCATGTACACGATGAAGGTTAAGGTGGGATGCATGGAACCTCTTTGGTAAGTGCATGTGACCTCTACCATGAAGATGGGATTTGTAGTTGAAGGGCCTGGTGTGGTCTCTGAGCAAGACAGCGTAGAGGTTCCACTGACTGAGAAACAAAGCTAATGATAAAGGTCTGGGGAGGGAGAGTCTGGGGTGACCATTCTGAGGGGTGTAGGTGAGGTCTGGTGCTATAGATAGCAAAGGTCACCAGGTCATTAACAACGAGCCCTGTTGAGGAATATCCCTTTCCACTGTGTGAAGATGTGTCACTGTGGTTGATTTAATAAAGAGCTGAATGGCTAGGTAGGAAGAGGTTAGGCAGGACTTCTGGAGACCAAGATCTCTGGGGAGGGGAAAGGAGAAGTCACTAGCCTGATGCAAAGGGAGTAAGACATGCAGGAGGAGAGGGAAAGCCACGAGTCACATGGCGACGCATGGTGAGTAGGAACGGGTTGAGGTAAGCAGTAAGAGCTAGCGGGACAAGCCTAAGCTATAGGCCGAGCTTTCATAATTAATAAGTCTCTGCGTTGTTTATTTGTGAGCTGGCAGCCCAAAATAAAATCCATCCACCATCTGCTCCCAGCTTTCCAGGTGAAAATGTATACATTTCTTCCATCGTTGAGACAACCCTGTGTGACTAACATTCCTGGTTTCTCCAGTGCTTGTCTGTGATCATTCATGTCCTCCATGGTGCTGAGCGTTCTCAGCCTCTCCAGCATGCAGATGGCCATGGTGGAATGAACACACACACACATGCACACTCACACACACACACACACACATGCACACACACATACACACGCACACACATACACATGAACTCACACACAGCAGGAAGTGGTGGGGAGCACTTGTAATCTCAGCACTTGAAAGGCACAGGCAGGAGGATCAAGGAGTTCTAGGCCAGCCTTAACTACATAGCAAGTTCAAGGCCAGCCTGGGCAACATAAAAGGCCTCTTCTTTAAAATTCAAGTAGTATATTGTCCGTAGTCACTCTCAACTGTTGTATGATATTTGAGCAAACTGTATAAAGAAGTGTGGCTGTTTTACCCTGCCTGCCTAAGGCACCTGACTGGTTTAACAGAGATCTGAATATCCAATAGTTAGGCAAGGGAGGTTAGGTGGGATTTCTGGGGAAAGAGAGGAACTCAGAAAGAATCTAGGCTCACATGAGATATGCAGTGAGACAGAGGAGAGAGTTGCACATACAGAATGGAAGAGAGGTAAAAAGCCACGTGGCAGAATATAGATTAATAGAAACAGGTTAATCTAAGTTATAAGAGATAGTTGAGCACAAGCCTAAGCTAAAGGCCAAGCTTTCATAATTAGTAATAAGTCTCCGTGTCATTATTGGGAAGCTGGAGGTCCCAAAGAAAGTTCAACTACACCCAACAAATTAAACTTTTGTTGTCCACTGGCTTGGGGAGTCTGTCTGCATACTAACTGTGGGCTTATCCTCCTGATTTGCCCAGCTGACTAAAGAGACTCTACAATCCTGATCTGAAAAGCATTTGCCCATGTGGAGACTTACTGCAATGCCTCTGGTGTATAAAATAGTGGGAAAAAATAAAACGTAGATGCAAGATACTTATGAGACAGGTCGCGCCTAGAAGAAATGGGTAAGTGTTGAACGACCATGAAAGAATGATTTGTGTGGGAAGCATGGGAAGGGAGTAAATGTTAAATACTAAGAAATTTAAAAGAAGTGCAAGTGTACATGTTGCTTTCCACGTGGGATGGAGATACAGGGGAGGGGTGCAGAGTTTGCCCAGTGCATGCATGTGCCCGGATTCCATCCTAAGCAACCGGAGACAAAAAGCAAAATTAAAGGCAAAGACCACACTACCTCTTTATTGACACATGAACACCACATAGTCGTTAGTCAGTCCATTGTTCTGGTTAAACGTTGCTCTTTGAGTGAACCAAACTTTAGTTTTGCCCATGATGTTGCAACGATTCTTTCTTCAAGTCTCCAAATTAGCTGCAATCAGATGTCAACTGCAGCTGTTGTCATTTGAACATTTGACTGGTCTAGACATCCAAAATGACTCACTTGTATAGCTGACAGGTGACACTGGCAGTTGGCTTTCTGGAAATTCAGCCCTTCCAACATGACAAACCTGGCAGCTGGCATCCCCCAGGACAAGAATCAGACGGGAACCAGGCTCATGGCCTATTCTGGCCTGTCCTTGGGAGTCAGGTAGTATCCCTTGAATTAATTATATTCTACATTCTGCTAGCTAGAAAGCAAGCCCCCGCAGCCATCCCAGATTCAAAGGGATGGTCCTCTTGGTTCTTTGGTTGCTATGACCAACATGCCTTCAAGAAACAAAGGAGTCATGCTTTATTGTGGCTCATGGTTTCAGAGGGTTCAATCCAAGGTCGTGCGGCTTCAAGTGCTTGGAGGAAACATCGTGACAGCAGGGGCAGGTAGCAAAGGCCTGGGAGATGGGAAGCAGAGAGAAAGGGAAATATAGTCAGGAACCAGGGCAAAAGATAGCCCTGAAGACACCCCTCATTTCCAGCATGACAAAGGACAGTCCTGAGGACATCCCCTCACTTCCAGCATGACAAAGGATAGCCCTGAGGACACCCCCCATGACAAAGGATAGCCCTGAGGACACCCCCACTTCCTTCCATTAGACTCCATCTCCTGTCTTTTAAGGCCTCTCAGTAATGCTATCACATTGGTGAATCCATTAAGTGATTAATCTATTGATTAAGTCAGAGCCCTCGTGATTTAACTGTCTCTGAAAAAGCCATTACAAGCATCTAGAGGCATGCTTTACTAATTCCTTATCATCAATCCAGTTAAATTGACAATCAAGATTAAGTGTCACCGGTGTACAGACCCCACTTCTGAATGGGAAGGACAGAATTTTTTTTTTTGGTATTTACGATACAGGGTTTCTCTGTTTTGTTTTGGAGACTGTCGGTCCAGCCTGGCATCGAACTCAGAGATCCACCTGCCTCTGCCTCCCGAGTGCTGGGATTAAAGGTGTGTGCCACCACTGCCCGGCAAGGGAAGGACAGAATTTTAAGGCACGCTCTTAACCCTCTAGATAGACATGTGACTCATTGATTTGGTCTAGCTGTGTGATCTGTGGCCTGTGGGACAACTCAGCTTGGTGACATATTTGGAGGCTGCTGTTGCATCAACATAATTATCTGCATGACATTTGGAATTCTTCAGATCGAGCTGCTGAATGAAGGAACCTGAAGGCCCTTAAAGGTCTCTTGGAGGAGAGGACCTGAGCATACAGCTCTGGATGAATTGATAGCATGTGCATGAGGTCATCTTGGACCATCCAACCCCACTCAAGCTTCAAATGACAATAGTTGAAAGAATTATGCTAGAACTTGGAGTTGACTCTTCACTGTGGATTGGCTGTACCATCCCCATGATAATAAGTCAGCTTTTCCATCGCTCATCTGTCTGACAGACATGAAGACATCATGTTCAGCTAGCTGATCTATTACATGGAGATGCGGGCATCTGCTTTATAGGGCTGTGGTGATATTTCATCTACGACCTAACAAATAAGGCTTGCCTGAAGATCAGAGTTCGAAGCTAGAAACGCTAGTCAGCTATAGAAGCCAGGCGGTGGTGGCACACATCTTTAATCCCAGCAGCCACAGTCCTCAGTCATACAGGCCAGGCAGGGGTGGTGCACACTCTTAATCCCAGCACTAGAGAGGCAGGTGGAGTCAGGAGTGCAAGGTATTCGGTTTAGGCAGTCTGAGGAGCAGAGCAGTCTGAGGACAGGATCGCCCCTTCGGTCTGAGCATTGGTTGAGGTGAGATCTCTCTAGTGGTTGGCTACTTTGCTTTTCCGATCTTCATCTTGAACCCCAGTATCTGTCTCTGGGTTTTTATTATTTGTGCTACATAGGGCTGTGATGAAACCAACGAGTTAATGTAGAGTGAAGTCTTCCCCCTGCCTGCCGCTTTGGTTCCCCCTGCCCCCCCACCAGTCTGTTCCAGAGCCACATCAGTCCCAAATGAACACACAGGAGGCTATATTAATTATGAAGCTGTTGGCCGTTTGCTTGGTTTCTTACTGGCTATCTCTGACTTAAGTATTTACCCCATAATTGTTAATCTAAGTATTTTCTATTACCGGAGAAAGGTGTTCGGACCTCTTATTCCTATGGTGGCTACATCATGACTGACTCTGCCTCTCTTTGCCAGAATCCTCCTTGACTCCTAGTCCCACCTATCTTGCTTCCCTATTGGCCAACAGTGTTTTATTGACATATACATGGGACTACCCCATCAAGTTAATACATATAAAGTAGTTGAAACAGCACCGGATACAGTAAAAGTCCAGCAATGCTAGCCATCATTACCCAATTTCCGTAGAGCCCCCAACCCTATGTGACTACACCCTAATTTGAGAACTACCCAGCCAGCTGATGGATGTGAATGAATTAGACCTCCCTGCCACGCCCTTTCTCTGAAAACCTGAATGGTCTGGAGATGAACAAAGAGAGAGTAGCGGGCGTAAGAGGTTTTGTGGTCTGTATGTGCGTACTCTGGAGAAGTACAGAATAAAGCAGGCATACGCGTGGGCAGCAAGGAAAGGGCCTGAGAACATGTGACATGTGAGAGCAGCGATGCTAACAGGGTTAGCATGTGGCAGAGGAAGAGAAGGGGTGGGGCTCGAGAAGGTAAATTTAGCCCAGGCTAGCCCAGCCAGCTCTTTACTTCCAAATGGAACAAATATCTGCTAGTAACTGTGGGGACATCAGACCTTGAGCAGAAACCCACTTCCCCTTTGGTCTGGGAGTAGGCAGCTGTAAGACAATGTTTACTGAAAACAATTCAGTGCTATAAAGCTCTTGATAGGGCTCAGATAAGGGCTCCCTCACTGAAACACCAGGACTTTCACACCCCCTACGGCTAGATGCCTCTTCCTGTTCCCCTGCTGTGTCTCCCTGATTCTGGGGCCGGAGATTAAACCACCAGCCAGGAGGGTGAGAAGTCTGGAAAGAATTGTATGTAGATGGATGACAGAAGTCCTTAAAAAGGGAAGCTCTTTTTTCCTGGAGAGACTTCTCTCTCCTAAGCGGACTTGGAATCTCCTCCTAAAGCTGACTTGGGACGCATAAAGTTTTCTTAAAGCAACCGACCGGTCTCTGTGTCATCTATCCTGACCACCTCGCTACATTCTCGGATGCAGGCCGTACAGCAGGTAACCCCGTCCTCCTCCTGTAGTGGTTTGTATGAGAATGGTCCCTCATTGGCTCATATATTTGTTCTTGATTCCTAGCTGGTAAGTTGCTGGGAAGGATGGGAGGTGCGGCCTTTTGGAGGGGTGTCTGGATGTGGACTTTGAGGTTCAAAAGCCCGCACCAAACCTAGTCTCTCCCACGGGGATAACTAACTCAAGCTGAGAAGACTCTCCCTCTGCCTTCCATCCTGTCGAGCCCCTCAATGAATTGGGTGACGCCCACTAATATTTGCAAAGGTATCTCGTTGCTCAGTCTACTCATTAAAGTGCTGATCTTCAGAAACCCCCAGAGACACACATTCATAAGTAACACCTACGAGCTAGGCACTGCAAGCATACTTGTATCCCCAACTCTAAGGGGAGCTGTGGCTTGCTGGCTTCCAGCCTAGTTCAAAAAACACAATCCCTGGGTTCAAAGAAAGACCCTACCTCAAAGGAATAGGGAGAGAGGGGTGGAAGAGGACACCTGATTCTCCTTCTGGATTCCATGTATAAACACTGATGCATGCTACTGTACACCCATGTGCCTACCACACACACACACACACACACACACACACACACACTTAGAAGCACACACGCATGAACACACACACCACACACACACACACACACACACACTTAGAAGCACACATGCATGAACACACACACACACACCTTTCTTTGGGGAAATACTTTGTAACTTTTCCTCCTTCCAGCATGCCCTTTATATTTGAGATTGGAGAAATATTTTGACAAAGGAAAAATGGAAAGGTTTTGAAATGATTGAAAAATGATTCTACCCAGAGGCCAGCAGAAAGGTCAGTGGAAGGGTTTCAAAAGTCCCTGCTCTTTTGGAAGAAAAATGAGGTATTGATTAAGATTTTTTTTTCTGAACACCTTTTCAAAAAGATGTATCACCGTCTTCTGTCATATCTGAGTTCCACTCGGTACCCTCTGCACCAAGCACCCAGTAAGTCACTGGGAGAGAAAAAAAAACCTTTATAAGGGCTTTTCCAGGCTAATTTTATCAACACTGCCAATCATTGCTGTCAATCACCATTTGGTTCTCAGGGATCAACAGGATAGCTCATCTCTGCCCTTTGGAGTCAGAGATGGCCGAATGACTTGCTTTGCACAAAGAACAGGGACGTGGCATATTTCCCTCTGTGTGTCTCTGTTCAACCATCCAGCTCACTCTCCTCCTACCATGGAGAAATTCACATGTGTTGAAATTGAGGTTCCAGGGATTCCAAATTGCCTAGAATAATAGCTGTCTGGCAATGCGGTTCAACACTAAGCAGATTTTTTATGGTAGAGAAATACACCTCCTCCCTCTGTTGTCACTGTGATTGGGGTTACTTGATTTGTAGCTAAGCGCACACATGGGCAATAGCTAATCCTTGGGGCCTCCAGATGCTGGTTTTATGAAGCTGAATGCTTTCTTTCACTCTTGCTATTTCCTCTGTCTAAAAGGACTTATTTTGGCTCCAGAACATTGTTTTCCTATCTGGGGTACAGGAAGATAGACTCCATTTCCTCTCTCTGGTTTCTAAGCTATATGTGACTTTGGAGCCATAGATGTAGATTTGAGAGTCAGCATTGATAAGGGAAAAGTTAAATCCAGTGAGCGGCTGAATCATCCATGGGAAATGTGCAAGTGAAAACAGTCCACCTGGTCCTGTGGGCCTGTCGTCCCAGATGCTCAGAGGCTGAAGCAGAAGGGTTGCAAGTTCAAGGTCAGCCTGGGTAGCTTGAGGAGACTCAAAATAAAAAGCACAGAAAATGGAGAAGGATGAAGGGAACGATAGTAGCAGGGCACCTGCAAACATGAGGCCCAGTGAGAGAGAGACAGACAGACAGACAGACAGACAGACAGACAGACAGGAGGGAGGGAGGGAGGGAGGCAGGGAGAGGAAGGAAAGAAGACACCGAGGAGGAGTTAGGACAGAGATGGGGTGTTGGTAGGAAATTAAGGGATAGACAACAGAAGAGGAAAACATGAGAGAGAGGGGGGGGGAGGGAGGGAAGGAGGGAGGGAGGGAGGGAGGGAGGCAGAGGCTATAGAAGCCAAAGAGGGATGAGGTTCCCTGAGGTATGCATAAGCCTGGTTCAAATGCATCAACTAGGAGCGGCTGTGGTGGCTCAAGGTTAAGAGCTTGGAACGCTAGTGGGGAAGACTGGGTTTCAGTGCCCAGCACACAAACAAGGAGGCGCACAACCCCCTGTAACTCCAGTTCCAGGGATCCAGCACCCTCCTCTGGCCTCTGTGGGAACTGCGTCCAAATGCACAAACCCCACCCCAACCTACCCGTACATAATTAAAAACAAATCTTCAAGCGTATCATCAAAATCAAGTAAATTAGGATGAAAAGCTGCCTATTTCATGATTTCCGTGTAGTAAAAGATGCTGAGATTAGTGTAAATTATTTTTTTAAGCAAACACTCATCCAACGGAAGAATAAATAAACAACAAAGTACAAGATGGAAAACAGAGGAGTGGGCAGCAACCTGGGCAGTCCCCAGACAGGTGACAAACAAAACCGAAATGGAGCAGAGCCAATCCAAGCTAAGGCCACAAGGAACAAGATGTGAGGACCACTTGTGAAAATAGAGATATTGATATACTTGAGCTACATAACAAGTTAAAAATATTTAAAAAGAAGATGCATAACCCATGCAGCTAGGAATTTGCCCCTTTCTCATATAAGGGAAGATGTAGATGTTTCCTGGTTAAGGGACACCAGCAGGACCTCTGTTGGCAGGAGATGCACACAAAAGTGAAAGGGACCCTGGGTTCTGACCTCCAACCTCTGGGCCTACTGTCATTCTCCTGCTCTGCTTCAAGAACACTGGTACCCGCTGGGCGTTGGTGGCGCACGCCTTTAATCCCAGCACTCGGGAGGCAGAGGCAGGCGGATCTCTGTGAGTTCGAGGCCAGCCTGGTCTACAAGAGCTAGTTCCAGGACAGCCTCCAAAGCCACAGAGAAACCCTGTCTCGAAAAACCAAAAAAAAAAAAAAAAAAAAAAAAAAAAAGAACACTGGTACCCACGCCACCGAAGGGTTCTTTTCTGAGCATCCAACAAGAGTTCAGCCAGGCGAGCCTACAACAAACCCACTGCTTAACCAGTCCTACCCATCATAATTTCCAAACAGTGTTTTGATGTCCACTTTGCCATGGAATTATAGTTTCAATCCATTAATTATTGTTGAGAGAATCATTGCAATGGGGAAACAATTATTTTTATTAGCAGGAGAAAGCACTTACACACAAGCTGGGAAGATCAGAAGCGTGGCTGGCTTCCGAGAGAGAGAGAGAGAGAGAGAGAGAGAGAGAGAGAGAGAGAGAGAGAGAGAGATAGAGAGAGAGAGAGAGAGAGAGAGAGAGAGAGCTTTTGCTTTTGTTTTCCTTTACCCTCACCTGTGCCCATCCCCCTGCCACGCCCCTTTTGGGTTCTGTGTGACTTAGTTAGGAGGTGCTCATTCAAACTTCTAGAGTCCAACACCAGACTAGTTTATTTTAGACATGTTTAAGTACGGTATAATTTGGGGGAAAAAAGTTTCCTGGTAACAATTTTCCCAATCCCATGTACACAGTGAAGCTTAGCGTGTGACTACATCAAACTCCTTTACAAAGTACTTGTGACCTCCACCATGAGGATGGGATTAAGGGCTTAGGGTCTGGTGTGGTCTCTGATGGAGACATGCTATAAAGTACATGTGACCTCTCCTCTAAGAACGGGTTCTATTGCCCTGGAAAGAGAGTGGTCATGCCAAGAGCAGAGGACAGCAGTCTAAACACGCCTTCCCATAGACCCTCACATCTCCTAGCTCCTCCTTTCTACCCTGCCTGGCCCTGATGGGGTTTGACCATTAGGATTGACTGAGCTGTGTCACCTGTCTTGACTTGCAAAGCCGTATGCACAAAACTCCACATCGTAAAGTGGATGCATGAATCTGATTGGAAGCTGCTTGTCTAGCTGAATCTCTCATTACTTCCTTGTCCTTGGGCCAAACGCTGCTCCCTCAGTACTCTCCATGACCTCCATGCTCCACACCATGGTCCAGCCACCATCTCCATTTGTAGCACCGTTGACCTCATCCGCTCTACCTGTCTACTCTTCCCTTTCCTCCAAGCGGGCAGGTCTGACGCCTTCAGGGGGCACGTAATTCCTGGGGATGCTTTCCAGGAGGGATGAGTTCTTCTAAGGAACCCCTCCACCCTCTCTGATGTACTCTAAGGCACAAGGAGCCTCCCTTTACACAACCTGAATGATTTCTCCCTCAAATCCATTCATCTTTGTAGGTAGAGTTGCAGCCTGCACATGGAATCCTCAATACGTTCATTGAAGTTTTAAACTATGCAGTCAATCAACATTAGATTTTATGACACGTTGTCATTCAAAAGACAAAGGAGAGGAGGAATCTCAGGTAACTGTCATAATAGCACCCATTAGTGTTACCCTGGGTTCTAGCAAGGTATGAAAATGGTTAGTAGATTGTGCTAAAGAAAAAGTAAGCAATATAAAATGGCATGTCCGTGGCATGAATAATAGGAGCAAAGCTGTGAGAGTCACAGAGAATCCACACTAAAACCCAGCCTTTGCCTCTCAGAAGCTGCCATCTTTGGACCAATTGACATCTCTGAGCTGAGTTCCACTCTTGGAAAAGTTCAGAGAATTATGGAAGCCATGTCCTGAAGCTGCCGGTTTGCATTCATAGCTCATGGGAAGAAAGAGCTTTGTGTAACAGCTGGGACACATTGTAAACTTTGCGTAATAGCTGGGACACATTGTAAACTTTAGGCTCTGGTTCTGCTCTCAGGGTTGAGAGCTGTCACTGACTGTTGCCAAGAGCACTGGCGTAGGAATCAGATATAGTTCTTATACAACTTCTGCACGGGAAAGAGCAGAGCAAGACGAGGATTCACGAAGCTGTAGACTCCCAGATATAACACAGCTAAATGAGACTACGTTTGCTTCAGACTCTATCTTTCTAGACGTAGGAAGTGGCCCTGCTTCTGGAATCTACTTCCCTGAAAACCTGCTCCACCCTTACAAAGACCCCAGGGGCAGGCATGGAGAAGGATGGGGCTCAGGAGACGGAGAGCTTGGCTTTCTCCATCACTTTTAGTTGCTGTAAGGAGTTGGGGGATTATACTTGGCAAGCCATGTCACAAATCAGTAGCTGCCCATGACTCAGCATTTAGGGCACGGCTGTGCCCTTGGTACATTGCATATTTCACCTCAATCTTCCTAAGGCTTCCAATGAAGCTTTTGTTATCTCTAGTTTATAGATGATGATGACTGTTCACTTTCGCAGACTTAGCATAATCAGTGACTGTACTAACCCTTGAGTACTTCTCCTCATCTCCATTTATAACCCTATGAGGTAGGAGCAATTTTAATCTTCTGTCTTTTTAATGAGAAACTAGACGTACCAATAGGTTAAGTAAATTTCCAAGGGCACTAAGCTAATTAAGTGATAGAATTTAAATCTTTGGTTTCTAGAGCTCTAGAATTCAAATGTTTTTCCCTGAAAAGCCTTAGTCAAATTCCAGAACGAGCATGCTGACCTTAAAACTGAAAAACATTGAGTTATTACAGCCTTGTTCTTTTGTGAGTTTCAAGGTCTCTTGAATTCAAATTTCTATTTTTCTTCTTGATAACCGCAGTGGCAACATCCCTCTGTAAATTATCCATTACCTGCCTCTAGCTTCATATGTAGTGATTTATTAATCTGCAGTTTGAATTTTCCCCTTATCGTTATCCTTTTTAACCATCCCAAATAATTGCTTTGGGTAATGTCACCCTTGAGATATTAGAAAATATGTCTTTGGGGAAATTTTTCAATGAGATAAGACTTAAACACAGGGTTCATTAGGAGTAACCAACCTGGCATGTCCTTATCAGTCACCAGGCAACTGTTGGTTCTCCATTTTTCTTGGGCTTTCTCCTAGTATGTACTTAGGATCCTAGGTGTGGACCAATTGTCCTATTGACCAAGAGCCAAAATGGCCAATTAAGCACAGACCTTTCATTGTCTCCAGAAACAAAAGGAACGAAAGCACAGAGGACTGGTGTGTTTCTGCCTCATTCACTTGTGTGTCCTGCCCTCTGTCCTCTTCACTAACTGAGCAGTGACCCTCACCTCCGCTCCCTACACCCATGGTCAGAACCACGGCGGGGCATCACAAGTGCTCCCAACGCCTTCCGTGTCTACCGCACCCCTCTGCTCTTCCAGATCACTCAACCTCAGCCCTCGCCACCTATGACCCTCTCAGTGCCTCTGGTCTATAGCTTCTGCCACATGGCCAGCGTCCGTCAGACCGCCCCGCCCGTGTCCTTCCCTTTGAGCTTAGTTTGGAGCCCAAGACTTCATTTAACTCACCCTGGTTCCTTCTCCCTCTTCTGTCTCCATCCCACCTGTATGGGAAAAAAAATGTGAGCAGGATGAACTCATCTTTCCAGACAGTACTTTCTTTAAGCAATGGAACACGGCTGGAACCATCTCTGCCTCTTTGCCGTAGCTCTCAAGCCTTTCCCTTCCTTCATCCAGGTGCATCCTCAGAGATTTGGTTTTTTTTGTTTTTGTTTTTTTTGTTTGTTTGTTTGTTTTTTATGAGGCAGGGTTTCTCTGTATTGTTTTGGAGGCTGTCGGTCCTCCAGCCTGGCCTGGAACTCACAGAGATCCGCCTGCCTCTGCCTCCCAAGTGCTGGGATTAAAGGCCTCATTCACAGTAACAAGTCGTCTACCACTGAGCTACATCCCAAGCCCTTGTCCTTAAATATTTGCATATGTCCCCTTGGTTCTGTTCCTCTGGAGAGTCCTAGTTAATAGAGCTGCCAAACCCAGTGTTAGCATACACATGCATTTTTGTTTGCATATATTTTATAATTTTCCAACAACCTCAAATGAGTGTGCAACAATGAGCTACTCCCTCATTCTTAAAACAATTTTAAAAAGTTTCCCTCTGTGAAGACACTCTCCTGAGTTTCCCACGTTCTCACTGAGCATTTCTTCTAAGTCTTCTATAAACACCCCATGTATGTACCCACGTAATTCTCTTTCTACCTCCTCTTTCACCCCGAGTGACTTCTTAGCTGCAACTGGTCCTACATGCCAGTGACTCCCACGTTCGCTTCCAGACTACCCTGTCAGATTTGTGTGTTCAGCTGCTCCCTTCGCTTCTAAACTTGGGTTCCAGAGTCTACACTGTTTACCCTCAATCTACCCTAAGTAAGCTGCATGTCTTAGGCTTTTATTGCTATGATAAAGCACCATGACCATGTTAAGCTATAAAAGAAAGCATTTAGTTAGGCTTCCATTTCCCAAGGGTTAGAGTCTGTGGTGACAACACAAAGGCGTGGTGACAGGAATAGCTGAGATCTCCCATCTCAAACTGCAAGTAGGACACGGAGAACAGGATGACTCTTGGAACCTCAAAGCCTGCCCCAAGTGACATACTTCCTTCAGCAAGGCCGCACCTCCTAATCCTCTGCCGACTGAGAATCAGTATTCAAATATCTAAGACTCCTGGGGACATCCCATTCAAACCTTCACACAGCCCTAGTATGTACTCAAGTCCTTGGGTCAAAATCCTCCGTGTGCAGTGTCTAGAATAGGCAAATCCATGAAGGCTAGAAAGCAGATTAGTAATCTCCAAGTTGTACCAGGCTGAATGGTGTCCTTTCATCACAAAAGATATGACCATTGTGGTGGCTTGAATAGGTATGCCCCCACAAACGCAAGTGTTTGAACACCCACAGGCAGTGGCACTATTAAGAGGTGTGGCCTTGTTGGAGTAGGTGTGGCCTTGTGGAAGGAAGTGTGTCTCTGTGGAGGTGGGCTTTGAGGTCTTTTATGTTCAAGCTACACCCAGTGTGACACCCAGTTTTTTCTGCTGCCTGCAGATCAAGACGTAGAACTATCAGCTCCTTCTCCCTGCACACCACCATGACGATAATAGACTAAACCTCTGAAACCGTAAGCCAGCCCCAATTAGATGTTTCCCTTTATAAGAGTTGCCATGGTGATAGCGTCTCTTCACAGCAATAGAAACCCTAACCAAGACAGCCATGTTCTAAGTCCAGGAGTCCATGAATGTGATTTTATTAGGGAAAGGGTCCTTAGAGCCACAATTAAGTTAAGGATTTCAACACGAGATTGTCCCATAGAGTCCAGATGGGTCTTAAGTTCAACGGCAAGTGTCCTACATGGAACACTCAGAGAGTGAGCAGGGTGAGGGGACAGCATACAGATGAGGACAGATGCTAGAGCTAGGCAACTGCAAGCCAGAATCTGAAGAGGCAAAGTAGGCATCCCCTGCAGCCTTCTGAGTAGGGCCCTATTGGCACTGGACACCAGGCTCTGGTCTCCAAAACTGAAACGTTCATTCTGTTGGTTTAAACCACCAGGGTTGTGGTCATTTCTCCCAGGAAAGCAATGCAATGGCTTGAAGAGGGAGGAATGGAGAATGACTAATAATAGGCATCTCTTTTTTTTAATGGAAAACACTAAAAAGATGGATTTTATTTGAATTACAAGAACATACACATTTCTCTATTCTCTCCAAAGATACCATTTTGGCCCACACACGAAACTGATGAATTTTGTGAATGCTTAACGCATGTAAACATGACCTCTATCACTGCTTCCGTGAGCTCTTTGAAAAGCCAAGTTTATGAAAGCAGCTTCATGGGACACGCAAATGGAGTGAGACAGCAAAGCCCTGCTCTTAGGCCTCTCTTTTGAATGATGTAGTAGGTTAAAACTGGATTATGTAGATGGTTGCTAACTCTGCAGATATGCTAAAAAAAAAAAACCAAAAACTTGAAGTAACACCAAATAAGTGAGTTTTCAAGTATATAAAGTATATGTCGACGAAAATGTTAAAATATAACCGTAGGAGTTAACTTTTGACACTCTTTATTACCTAAACCCCTTAAAACGTTTTTTTTTAACTCTCCTCTGGGACATGTCTCAAGTTCAATTCCTGTTCTTAGCCTCTGCATCACTCTCTGCATCCAAGACCATCACTGTAACCTATACAATCACAATACCCTAACTAACCTCCCCAATTCCATCCAAACCAACTTCAAATCCTTATTCCTTTAAGAAAACACATAATTTCTTTTCAGGATTGGGTATGTTTTAAGATAGGGATTTTCTACGTACCTCATGTTGGCCTGGCAATCACTGCTGCCCAGGCTAGCATTACCAAGCCTGGTAAAATGATTCTTCCAAAACAATCCTGAGGTCTATAGGTGCTCGTAACCTTTGATGCCCTCTGCTGGGATGCCCCGGCAGCTGGGACTTCTGGGAAAGAAGTATTTCCACACCATTTCCATTTCTTCACAGCACACGTTCCTTATTCTGGTATTTCGCTTTCAGATTCTGGTCACAGCAATTCAAAGTTCAGCACCTGCTGCCGGCAGCACGGGCGTGGCCGCTGAAGCTTGCAGAAATGTCCCCTTCCGTTTGGACCCAATCCTGTGCACAAACCCGAACCAATAAGTGCTCTGTCAGGTCTCATCTCCCAAGCCCACTCTCCCTGAAGCTTCTGTCTTGACATCCCCGCCCTCTGCCTCAGTGGAATTCAGACAACTGAGCATGAACCAGACAGTGAGACAAGAGATACGTGCCATAAGAAACAAATGACACCACAACAAAAGTTCAGATCCCAGCGACAGAGTGTGATTTCAAGCAGGGTGCTAAATGCTGAACCCCATTTTCTAGGTTTCTCGTTTGAAGTCTGCAGAGGAGTATCTCCCACAGGTTAGTGTGCTAAAGAGGCAATACTCCTCTCTCTTAGGCTTCAGTATCTGCATAAGGCACATTAACGAGATAAAAGAAAACACCCACAACGTTTAGATACGTGATACGGGTAGGGAGAGCATGGAAGGAATGGCTGTCTCCAGAACAAAACAGGGGTTTCCACTACGAACATATGGGGTGGGGGATTCCGCAAATGGGTTTCTAGATCAGAGGTGAGAGGAGGAAGTGGGGTGCTTGTGTTTAATTACGTATGTATGAGTAGTCCCCTGTGGGTACTTTTGGTGGTGGTAGTGTGGTGGTGTGTGTGTTTGTGTGTGTGTGTGTGTGTGTGTGTGTGTGTGTGTGTGTATGTCTTTGAAATTTTTCTCTGACGTTCTCCTTCAGACAAGAGGAAAACTCCCATGAGGTCATACATGGAGAGAGAGATGGGGAGAGAGGGAGAGAAGGAGAGAGGGGGGAAAAAGGAATGGGTGGAAGGGAGGGAGGGAAGGAGAGAGAGAGAAAGTCCATCCAAATTGGGTGTGAAAACTGTTGAATTTCTTGTTTCATCCTACAGGTTTCCAATGAGCTCAATGGAGTTGAGCATCATGGGTAACTTAATGGACACCCCCATCAGCATCTGAAGCATCCTAAACCCAGACCCAAAATGTAAACAATATGCAAATTAGTAGATGGCATTTTAATAATAAAAATACTGGAGGAATCCTGGGAGAGATACAAGGTAAATCAGCTTTCTTTTTGTTAAAAAGATTTAGATTAACCACAAAGAGTCAATTTTTTTAAAAAAGGTTTAAAAAAAAACAAGATTAGATTAAATGTACCCAAAGGTCCCTTCCATTATAAAATTCCGATTCCGGCATTAGATGCTAGGCATTGGAAATAGGTGTATAAATTTACAGAGGAACAAATGAGGTACATATAACAGGGGTACAACAACCTGATATTGATGTTCCCCAGCAAGGGCTTCCGTGAACCCGATGACGACACCCATCCTCGTGGATCATCTCTAGCTCAGAAACAGAAGACTCGAAAGTCCTCACACGTGGAAACTTACACGGCACGCCTAGCACTAGAACAGAGAGAACACCAGCTCGGGGCCGGAACTGGACTGTCCTGGCTCTGCCTACACAATCTCTGTGAATTTAAAGACATCGCTGACTTCCTAGGAGTTCAGGTTTATGTGATATTTAAACTAAAATTCACAGGGTCGTTTTTAAAACCTCTTGATTTCTAAATTCCTGTAATCTAAGCTCCCCTGCATAGTTAAGTGAGTATAGACCATTACTCCTTCGCTTCGAAAAGCCCACTGCTTCCCTTTGTTCTTAGACTAAAACCCAGACCCTCCTGTAACCTTAATCCCTTGTCTGATTGGCCCCGCCTACTTACCGCCCTAACTCCGCCCACCATCTACTTTCTCCCTGTGCTGGGCGAGTTGCCCCAGAGAACTCTGCCCCGGTCTTTATCATTTACATTCCATGCAGATGTCACTTTGGGAGAGATATCAATTCTGCAATACACACACACACACACACACACACACACACACACACACATGCACACACGCACACACGAACGCACCAAGCCATGCTCTCTGTCATTTCATCTTTGTCTCATTTTCTCCATTGCATTTGCCATAATTGTAGGCATTTTGGGCGGATCAGGATGGGCCAGGTATTCTGGCAGTTGGGAGTCACAGAATACTGAGTGTTACACAGCTCAGGTGGAAAGGTATCCTGGAGCTCGGGAACCAAGGACCACCACAGGTTGCAGTAAGCTTAGCTGCTTACAGCCTTGCCTCAGGGAAAGGCTTCTCCGGTGTATCCGCTCTGCTCAGGCAGGACAGGGTCTTCCAGCTGGGGATGTTTGCCCAGTGTAGCAGTTTTGCTCGGCAGGTTTGGGGGGGGGGGTGCTACAGTTCAGCTCTGCTCCCGGAGAGCTGAGAGCCGAGTGCAACAACTCAGCTCTGCCAAAGGAAGGTTTCCCCGGGCAAAAGTGTTACAGCCCTGCCCGCTCTGCTCTGCCCAGGGTCGTCTCTGCACCGCAGCTGCTGCAAAAGAAGATCTTCACCCAAAGCTCATTGAAGGGGTTTGTTGGGAGGGAAGAATCCAGGAGAGTTGCTGCCCTCTGGCAGAGTGGCAGAAGACAGCAGGGTAGTGGGAACAGCCACAAACTCAACAGACACAGGGTTTATATAGGGCTTCCAGGGTGGGGATTGGTCAGATTTCAATGCTGAGCTCAGACTGGCTAGAGCTCTGCTGGAGGATTGGTTAGTTTTCTGCACAGGGTTAGGGTCAGATTTGGCTCTGGTTTCAGGGCCAAAGTGTGTTTCTTTCTCTGGTCCTTTTTAGCCTTTTTGCTCCAACTTTAGGGCCAGGGTGCATTTCTTTCATTGACTCTGATCCCAGGGACAAAGTGTGTTCCTTTGGCACTGGTTTCAGGGTCAGGGTAATTTCTTTTGTTATGATTCCAGGGACAAAGTGTGTTTCTTTGGCTCTGCTCAGGGTGTGTTTCTTTGGCTGGCCCCTTTTCCCTACAATGATCAAATGCTACCTTGTGCAATTATGTGTAACAATTACCTAAATTATCCTATTATTAATAGAAACCCGGGAGTCAGATATGGAGCTGACTTGATCAGAGAAGCAGTGGCGAATGACCAGTGACCTCTTTTTGCCCTCCTTGATCAAAAGGCCCTTGACTCTTTCAAACCCCTCCTTACTACTTCCTGTGCCTCACTATGTGTCCTGGGTCCTCCAAAACCTCCATGGCTAATTCTGGTCAGCTAGTAGCTTGCTCTGCCCTCTGATTCGAGGTAAACTTTATTGGCAGACTCTGGAGTGTCAGGGTGCAATCAACATATCTCAACATTTATGTGATAACTTCTTATATGAGAGGCTGGTCCTAGAGTGCGGGACTAAATGATAGTGGGAACTTAGTCCACCTTATATCCCATTTATTTCCCAGTACCTAGCCAGACCTGGCACCAAAGCAGATTCTCATAAATAAATGAATAATAAATAAATATAAATATAAAAAATAAATAAAAACTTCAGAAGTTCTCTCTGCACCCCCCCTTTACAGGGAAGAATGTAGTTTCTCAGATATGAAACCAGTTTTGGAAAGATTAAAAAAAGAAACAAGAAGCCAATTTAGTTTTAAACACAACCAGCTAAGGTAGGGCAGATGTTCAGTGGTACAAGCCTGCTTAGCATGCAGAAGGTGCTGGGTATAATGGACAGAACTGCAATAAGAGAAAAAAAATAAAACCTTTAAGAGGTCTAGAAATAAACATAATGGTGATGTTCTTGCCTAGTATGCATGAGGCTCTGGGTTCAATCCCAGGTACTGGGAAAAAGAAAAAAATATATATATATATATATAAAACAAAGAAAATGAATGAATTGGGGTTTGCAATTACATCTCTTTAAAGAGGTCCTATTCACCAGGTATTCAAATAACAACCTTTTCCAATAAGCAGGACAAGCTCAGATGGATGCACCATTGTATTTATTTAATTCTAATGCAACATTTTACTGCTAACCAGAACAGTCTAGCACAATAGTCACTGTAACTGGTTTCCTGGGTAAGTCTCTGTATTTCATTTTTTGGACCTATAATTTTTCATCTCTTCAACTTACTAACTGTATAATCTAAAGAAAACTGTTTCCCCATCTGCAAAATGAGGGTTTAAAAAAATCTGCCTCACAGGGGTGTCCTAAGGTTTCAGTGACATCATTTATCAAAGAAGACATGTAGCACCCTCTTCACAGTTGGCAGACAAAAAGCATTCTCTGTCCGTGCCCAAGCCCCTATGGTTATGGGCTCCTCAACAAACGTCAACGTGATAATAACTGTATGACATAATGACATTTTCCAGACCCGAGAAGAGTTGCTGAATCTTAATTATAGCCACTTCTAAAAATATCTAAGACCTCTTGCTTAATCTGACTTTGACCTTGACATATTTCAATACTGACTGTGTTTGGAGGCTCACTTGTATTCTTGAGTAGCATTCACTGAACAGCTTTGGCTGAGCAGTATATTGTTGCTACTCAAAACATGGCTGCTTTCCCTTTGAGTAGCCTTCAGTTCATGTGTGCAAATGCAATTTGTAACTGAGAAGATCAACATGAATAAAGACAGACGGTGGTGTGCCATCAACAAGAAATCATGCACAATAACATAATAATAACAACAACCCTTTTTGTTGTTCTTGTTTTTGTTGAGATAGGGCTTCTCTGTAGCTTTGGAGCCTGTTCTGGAACTTGCTCTGTAGACCGGGCTGGCCTTGAACTCACAGAGATCCACCTGTCTTTGCCTCCTGAGTGTTGGCATTAAAAGCATGGGCCACCACTGCCTGGCCTGCACAAAAACTCTTAATGATTAATAAACCCAATTAACTTAACGAACTATATACTGTGGCAGGATCCAAAGCATCACCTGTTTAAGCAGAACAACCTTTGAAACCGTTGCCCTTTGGGTATCTTCTTGATAAAAGAAAGTAACATAATGAGGAACTGGGTTATCCTGGTTCCAAAGATCAATTCATTACAAATCAGTAAATCCTTAAAGTATTACTTTACTAGAAATTCCTTGAGGGCAAGAATGACGTATTAATTTTGGGAGTCACAATTATCTGAACACATTAAAGTGTTTAATTTTTAAAATTATGTGAATGGTGTGTGTGTGTGTGTGTGTGTGTGCACATGTGGGTGCAGTACCTGTGGAGGCCAGTAGGGGCATCACATCATATTCCCCTGGCACAGCAATTAACTAGCAGTCACATATCACCAGAAATGATTCCTGGAACTGAAGTCAGTTCCTCTACAAGAGCAATATACTCTCTCTTAACCACTGAGCCATTCTCTCACCCTATATCTGGACATATTAAACTAATGATCATCTTCAAGAATCTTATGTTAAACAGCTTTTTGTTACTATAACAAATGCATGAGGTAATCAATTTATGATGAAAAGCTTCTTGTAACTCACAGTTTAGGAGGCTCTAGTCATGATTGATTGGCTACATTACTTATCACAGTAGGAGCATGTGAGGGAGAAAACCTACTTCATGAGACAGAGGGGGAGGGGCTGGTGCCCTCACAATCCCCTTTGAGGGCAGGTCCCAATGACCTAAAGATCTCCCACCGGGCCCCACCTCTTAAAGACTCTGTGTCTGAGTAGCCCCAACCCCGGGAACCACACCTTTAGCACAGGGCCTTTAAAAGACATTTAAGAACAAAAATAAAGTATTCAAGTTAAAAGCAAGAATCAGGAAAGCCCGAAAACACAAGCAAACTTTTCTTTGCCAAAGATTTCCTATTTCTTAACATCAATTTCTATACAAAACATGCTTGCGTTTGTTTAGAAATAGACAACACTTCAGGAGCTAGCCGGCACTCCTGAAAACACAAAGCAACACTGCTGGGCGCCCGGTGGGGAGCAGGTGGAGTGATGGGAGAGAGAGTGAGCTCATAGGTCGTGCAGAAACGGCTTGTGCGAGATGAAGTGGGCCCGTCTGGAGATATCTGGGTGGTTGCTGTTCTTGCTCCTTGGGAAAAGGTGAACTACACTGCCCATCAACAGAGCCAGTAACAAACACAAGTGCTAGTGGCGTGTGCCTCCTTCCTTTAAGAAAACCGACCACTGTATGAGTCTCTGGGACTCCCAGAGCTGCATCCTAGCCCGGGCAGAAGAGCAGCACCTGCAGAATGGAGACCCACATCTGACTGGACGGGTCCTGCGTGTTGATTTCTCATCAGTAACCTATCTGCTAGGTCATGATCAGAGGCTCCGACGTTTGGCTCCACCGCAGCCTCAGGAAAGGGAGAAGGGCTGAGTTAATGATTGATAATGCCTACCTGAGGAAGCTTCTGAGTATCTATGGAGGGTGGCAAGCCCTGAGAGCATGGGGCATCTACAACCTTCCCCGTATCCTCTTCCCCGTTGGAGGCTGTAGCCATTCACATGCCTTACATTAAAATGGCAAATGTGCCAGGCGTTGGTGGCGCACGCCTTTAATCTCAGCACTTGGGAGGCAGAGGCAGGCGGATCTCTGTGAGTTCGAGGCCAGCCTGGTCTACAAGAGCTAGTTCCAGGACAGCCTCCAAAGCCACAGAGAAACCCTGTCTCGAAAAACCAAAAATAAATAAATAAATAAAATAAAATGGCAAATGTAAGGAAATTTGTTTCTCTAAATTCTGTGGACTGTTCTAGAAAATCATGGAACTTGAGATGGAGCCCTGAGAACCCCAACTTGTTGTCACCTTGTGAGAACCACCATCTGGCGTCTTGTGGAACCAAGCCTTTTGAATAGTATCCGATGCTGACTACAGAGAAACAGTGTAACCACAGAACTGAAGGGAAACCCC